ACAACACGTTTCTCACAATTTGAAACAGAAGTGTGCTTAATTGTGCACTTGTATAATCTAGTCTAATATAATAATAAAAAAAGCCATTTAAGTAAACTTAAAAGAGAGGTCACTTCCAGGACTTAAAACACACTTACGTACACTTTGTAATAATGTTAGATTAAACACTTTATTTTAAAGTACAATTTAAACCATTTAAATTAATTTTATTTTAAAATATTTTGGCTTTAAAGAAGTACACTTATTTGTTGACTAACATACAAATATGCACATATTATACTTTAACCTTATTCATAAGACAATAGAAATAATAATGCAATTACATATAACGATGTACTTTCATCCTACTTAAGTGATGCCAAAAAACACTAATTATCTATTTAAACTATAATTGCATTTAACTGCAATTAGTATGCATTTATGTGTCTGAAAACATTACATTCAGTTCACAGTATATTCTTTTAAAGTATATTATTCACTTAATAAGTACTCTTTTAAAAATGATGCTTTAAAAAGTATGTACTTCTTTTTAACAAGAGATTTTCCGTTCACTCTTTTTTTGTCAAGTGGGCAGAATTTAATTAGCCTATATACCATAGCTGCAAAACAGAGGAAGGAGTCAACTGAAAAGCCACTAAACAGTGTCTACTGTAGTAAATGCAGGAAAAATGAACAACAATGTATAATCGCTTTGATTTAACACTGAGAAATTTGAGATAAACACTGAGTGTGTGTTTGTTAAATATTCTACAGCATCTTACACAGTTGTGTATTTATGTTATGATATTTAGCTTCTCTAAATATAATTTTACATTTTACTTCCTTCCTGTTATCATACTGAGCTGCTTAGCTTGAGTCTTGGCACGCAGAATATTTCAGAAGCATAAACAACCAAGCGTTTGTGTGCTATGTACAGCTCCATTACAGGAATTTGCTTCACTGGTATGTCATATATAAAACAAAGTACTGCCGTAAAAAAATACGTTACGTTGATTTCAAATTTGACTGACAGTCGACGAGGGCTAATCAGCATTCTCGGTCTCGACTGTGATTGGGCAGAACGACACATTTGGGCGGGCTCTTCGAAAACAGCTAATGGCGAGCTGATACATGTGTACTAGCCTTGTGTCCGGGGCGGGGGACGGGGAGGCTATTTATATGGGGGAAGTCGCCGTTCCCAACCAGTTGAAGAAAGAAAAAGGCTTACCGCTTTCTCAAATCTTCTACCTTAAGAGTAAAAATGAGGGAAATCGTGCATCTTCAAGCCGGGCAATGCGGTAACCAGATCGGAGCCAAGGTCTGTTTATTTCTTTACATCATAAACCAACAAAACTGCAAGTTTTAGAGTATATAGAAAACTAGATACTGCGTTTAATTTGAGATATTTGATAAATTAATCGACTATTTATATATTCTCTCATGTACCGTATTGTACGCAGTCATTTACGTGCCGCCTAAAGCGGATGTTCTGATCTGGTTTGAATTAAATTTAGGACAAGTCTGTCTTTCGAGTTATATTTTATTACAAACGCTTGGAAAATTGAAAAAGACGACGAAATGTAGTAGTAGTTAAATGAATATCTATATGTTCATGCCATCTGCTCGTTCTCACCGGCGTCTGTCTGGAGCCTCCCTTTGTGCGATTCACTGCACTGCGACAAAAGGAAGTAAAAGCTAATCACGGTCTAAGCGGTCTAAGTTTTTTAATGGAATAATTACATTAAATATTACCAGACTAAAGATAGCTTAGACTTGCTAGTTTAAATATATTTATATATATTTAAAAAGAAAATTGGGCCCCAATAAATCGATTAGTTCGTAATGGCGCCGGAAATGGATCTCATCCAACCGGCGTGCGTGCCGCGCGCGCGAGTGAGTTTTGCGCGGGAAGAGTTCAAAGAACATCGATTGTCTGCAACTTTGTAACAAATTCTAAACGAATTAAAAATGTTAAAACGCGCATTAGATGTACAAACAGCATGTTGATGCGAAACATGCGTGGGAGTTTGTGGACAGTTGTCGCCTTTTGTGTGACCCACGCGGTGAATATTTGAAAAGCACAGCTTTAGGGAAATATTTCAGTTCACAATATAAATCAATACATTGTTGTGCATGGATATAATTGTCATTAATGGTTCCCTTTAGTTTTACATTCAATATTCTGAATTCCAGTCCTTTAATGTTATCTATTATATTCTTTAGTTCTGGGAGGTTATCAGTGATGAGCATGGTATTGATCCCACCGGCTCGTATCATGGCGACAGCGACCTCCAGCTTGACAGGATCAATGTCTATTACAATGAGGCATCAGGTATGTCCACAGCAATACTACTAAGTGAGCGCAGATGTTATGAAAACTGAGGGTAAACCATTTTGTATTTTAACCACGTTTTGTATTCTTTTAGGAGGCAAATATGTGCCCCGTGCTGTGTTGGTGGATTTGGAGCCTGGTACCATGGACTCTGTGAGATCCGGACCATTCGGTCAGGTCTTCAGGCCAGACAACTTTGTTTTTGGTAAGTATTGTTGTTAATCTAATTAAATGCCATTAATGTTAAAAATAAAGTTGTGAAAATTAAATATTTTGCCTATTGCAACAGGTCAGAGTGGTGCTGGAAACAATTGGGCTAAAGGCCACTACACTGAGGGAGCGGAGTTGGTAGACTCTGTCCTGGATGTGGTTCGTAAAGAGGCCGAGAGCTGTGATTGCCTGCAAGGCTTCCAGCTCACCCACTCTCTCGGTGGAGGCACCGGTTCTGGCATGGGCACCCTCCTCATCAGCAAGATCCGTGAAGAGTATCCCGACCGCATCATGAACACCTTCAGCGTGGTGCCTTCACCCAAGGTGTCCGACACTGTAGTAGAGCCATACAACGCCACGCTGTCTGTCCACCAGCTGGTCGAAAACACAGACGAGACCTACTGTATTGACAACGAAGCTCTGTATGACATTTGCTTCCGCACCCTCAAACTCACCACACCTTCATACGGTGACCTCAACCATCTCGTCTCCGCCACAATGAGCGGAGTCACCACCTGCCTCAGGTTCCCTGGCCAGCTCAATGCAGATCTGCGCAAGCTGGCCGTAAACATGGTGCCCTTCCCCCGTCTCCACTTCTTCATGCCTGGCTTCGCTCCTCTCACCAGCAGGGGGAGCCAGCAGTACCGCGCTCTAACTGTACCGGAGCTCACGCAGCAGATGTTCGACTCCAAGAACATGATGGCCGCCTGCGACCCACGTCACGGCCGCTACCTCACAGTCGCCGCCATCTTCCGTGGCCGCATGTCCATGAAGGAGGTGGATGAGCAGATGCTCAACGTTCAGAACAAGAACAGCAGCTACTTCGTTGAATGGATCCCCAACAACGTCAAGACCGCTGTGTGCGACATCCCTCCCAGGGGACTCAAGATGGCCGCCACCTTCATCGGCAACAGCACGGCCATCCAGGAGCTGTTCAAGAGAATCTCAGAGCAGTTCACGGCTATGTTCAGGCGCAAGGCTTTCCTGCATTGGTACACCGGAGAAGGTATGGATGAGATGGAGTTCACCGAGGCCGAGAGCAACATGAACGACCTGGTGTCCGAGTACCAGCAGTACCAGGATGCCACCGCGGAGGAGGAGGGCGAGTTTGAGGAGGAGGGAGAGGAAGAGCTGGCTTAAGTCTCTTAATATACGTGTTGTTTTCCAGTCTGTATAATTTTGCTCATTTACAGGGAAAAAAACATCCAAAGCTCAGTTTTCTTTTTCCGTTCTTGCCTCTTGTTTGTACAGATGTCATTAAAGGTTTTTTCTTCTGTTAAAATGTCTCGCTCTTCATTTCCTTAATTCTCACTTTGCAAATATGAATGAACCAATTATTTGAACCCATCCTCATTCTTCACTGGTCACATACACTGACAGATCCTTGTCAAACCAGTTGGGATTGCCTCTAGACATATGATCTAACTGATCACATGCAGAAAGTTTATTTATGTTGCCAGTCATAAGTTTCAACCATCCCCAATTATATAACATCCACATATGCAAGTTTTACCATTCTAATCGTGCGTTAAGGCTAGTGCTGGTAACAAATAAAAATGAATATGACATGCCATAAATACTGGTTAATGCATTTGAGCATTTCAAGTTGTGTAAATTGATCTATGAAAATGAACAGTGAATAAGTTTTATATATATATATAAATGTTTTGAAATGTGTCTGCTCTTAATGTTAAGGTTATTAAACCTAATAACATAAATGAGAGTTCAGTAGTAACCAGAAATGTATAATTAGATTTGATCTTGTATTTTTATGTATCATAATTCTGGACAATCTCTAACATGGTGGCTGCTTGGCAGCTATTCGTTCATGGAGATCATTGATTTAATATTCTTTAATTGAGTTTTGTATAAACAAGCACGAAAAGAAAAAAAAAAACTACAATTTATGTCTAGAAAACTAATTTCAAACATTTAAGAATAATTTACTCACTCTCATGTCTTCCCTACACCTGTACAACTCAAAAGATGATCATATGAAAAAGTATCCACTGTATGAACAAAAACACAGACATTTCTTAAATGATCTAGTTTTATGTTTCACAAAAGAAATATAGTCTTACAGATTTGGAAGGACATGAGAGTGCGTAAATGACAGAATATTAACTTTAGAGTGAACTATATCAAATAATATCAAAGGGTCTTTGAGATAATGAGAAATGCATCAGTCATGTGCGGCCATTATGTTTTGAATTAAATTTAAACATGAATATTGGCTTCAGTATAATAAACAGCTCATAATTGGATATTTGGCCGGCATAATTAGAGCTCTTCAAACTGAAAACAAGTGGTGGTAACATGGTGATTATTAACAAGGGGGGTTTATTCTTAGCAGTTACATAACAATTAGTGTCCATAGCTTCAAAACTAGTAATACTGAAATATGTAATCTTAATCTTACCACAAACCGAGCGAATCATGAGTGTCCTTATTACATTTTCTCAGCAGATAGCGCTGTTGTCTAAGTTTTTCTTCTCGTCCACACCAAGTAGGATAAGATCCCAACACTCAGCAGGAGCAGAGACCAGCAGCACACACTCATCGCCTGATCTTCAAGACTCTGCTTCTCGCCGAAACGACCGATAAAACCTGACTGAGAGCAGTACACAATATTAGAAATTCATAAAATAATCATAATATAAGTATCCAACTTATTTTTCAACGCAAAAGTAAGCTATTTCCTGTGAATGTGCGAGACTTCCGAGTGATTAATCGCCAGTAAATAACTAGAATTGCTTGTGCACTAAACGGTAAAACTATATGCGTTACAAACCAGTGTAATTGATTACAAAAAATACATTTAAATGATATGATAACAAATGCCGGTTTGCAATATCAGCAGCATACAAGGGACTGTTTTTGTACAGGTAAAACAACGGGAAAAGTACTAAAATAAATGCAAGCCTTACACATTCGCGCTTATGCTAAAAATAAGGGCGATACTGTAGCACTATATCATTTCTAATTAAGAAATTTTCATGTACTCAAGAGATATGATACTAAAAAAAAAAAGAATCATATATGATAATAAAATATGTCCCACGAAGATGAAATATGAGTAACCGTGAATTTCTAGAGTGGTAGATTTTAGCTGAAATCATGGCAGTAACCAGTTTTATTGGTTCACCTAATCTGCATCTACAGGGAAAAGACTGTGAAATGCCTTTAGCAATGTCCACCATATTATATAATGTCTTTTTTTTCCTTGTGCATTTTCTGTGCTTATTTTGCAGGAAAATATACTGGTTGCAGTGCATTACACTAATAGCACAATCTAATGTTCCAAAATATTTAAATGTGCTGTTCCAGTTCTGCAGGAAACGTCTTGAAACATCTTGCAAGTCCAGATTTCACTTTTTGAAGCACCTGATTCAGCTAGCATCTGGTGACAATAATGAATCATTATAATGATTCAGAATGGAACCAAATGGGTCCTGAGGCTTAACGAGAAGAGACCTCCTTTGACCCTTGACACTTACCCATCCCCCTCTGTCCCTGATCTCTGGGCAGATGACCCTCTCTATGTAGCTGCCCACGCACTCCTGAATCCGGGGCAGGATATCAGACATGCCACTTTCCTGGCAATGCAGTGCCAGTTGTCCAGAAAGAACAAACACAGACAGCACTGCGCTCCAGGCGAGCTCTCTATGTCGTGTGGGTGCAAAGTGCTCATCCAGAATGGAAACGAGGGTCGAGCAGGCCGTTCGGTCTGTCACGTCCTGGAAAACACGCGGCCAGCGGCGGAAGAAGATGGGGAAGCGAGTGAGCAGCTCATCTCCAGCGTGACGCAGGGCGGCCGTGGCACGAGATGGTGCTGGGTCCACCGGGATGCCTGGTTTGGCCGTCACATAGTTGATATAGTCATATGCCATCAGATAGGCCTCACGCACCAATGGGTCAGGACTGTTCAGGCCTCGGCCAATCACAGCTTTATCTGACAGTCCCATTACCTTTAATTACAACAATCTGCCCTCAATAGGCAGGTAAATATACAATGTCAATGTCCAAAATTTGTCTCTCTTTAGTACCCACTCATTTTAGATGTTTAGGTCACATTACATGCCATGGATAAACTGTCACTGGGTAATCCATACTCAGTGATTGTAGGTTCAAGTCCTTGGGAATAAAAAGGAAATTTAAGATCAGATACTTCAGTTAATAAATTATGTCAATGGCTGTGTCTGAAAGCTGCTCTACATGCTGTATACACAGGTAGGACAGCAACGAGGCACGTCCGAATTCAATGATAGTATCACATCCTGTCTGCTGAGATACATTCATCTGATTGATCTGATGATACCACTATCTTATGCGTTTGATTCCATGACAGATGAGCTAAAAAATAAAAATGGCATCTGCATGGTGCGGTTGGTGGTAACTGTGAGTAAATGTACTTTTTTGACCAACCTTTTCCACTTTTGTTGTCATTGGAATGAATAAATTAGTATTGAAGTAATTAAATATTCACATACATCTTTAGTGTTTTTTTAGGCGTTTCAATTTAGATTATGTTAGATTATATTAATTTCAGGATTTACTGGGCCCCCCTAGTGGTTCCATGAAGCGCTTTTAACATCCATTGACTCTTTCCATCGCACAAAAGGTTCTTTACAGTGGAAGCAGTTTTTACACTGTGCTTTACACTAATAAAAAATAATGGCTCTTTTAAAAACTGTTCACTAAAAGGTTCTTTGGGAAACCAAAAATTATTCTTTAATGGCATTGCTGTGAAAACCACTTTCTGGAACCTTATTTCTGAAGAATGTTGAGAACCGTTGCATTATTTCTCTAGGTTAATGATGTAAATTTCTGTATTAAAATACATTTAGATTTTTTTTTATTAAATTCTTGAAAACATAAAGTAGTTTGACATTGTTGGCTGTTATTATTATTAATATTTTAATTAATTAATTAATTATAATAATTATACATTTTAATTTTTATAATTGTATTTTTTATATTGTTATTTTAAATTTTATTATTTTAACAAACTGCTTATTAGTAATAATAATTTAATGCTGGGTTAAAAAGGGACAAACCCAGCTATTGGGTTGTTTTG